CCATGCAAAAATAATGGCAAAGACATTAAGAAAGACTTTGCTCCAGTACTATAAATCCACTTACAGGCACCACCAGCAGAGGAGGTGGAGGCCCCGGGGGCAGAGAGCCAAAGTGCTTCAGTAGTTTCATTCGCTGCGTCAGATTCATGATGATAACACTATCTTCTTTCAAAAAATACACTAAGGTCTAACCATGGTCCTTGTCTTTAAAAAGGTCTTTAAAGTCTCCAAAAACAAAAACAATCAAGAGAAAAAGGCAAAAAAACAAAAAACCGGGCACTTTAAGTATTCAACTTTAGAAAAAAGCAACAAAAAAAAGCTTCCAACAGATACTTTGTGTATCCAATGATCTGTGTCCTCAGTTATTCCCTTTCGGCCGGGTTCATAAAGTCACGCAGGTCCACTTGCTCCCACTGTCAGAGGTGTGTGTGTTTCTTGGGTAACTGGCAGTGTTTCCCACAGAGCAGCGGCAGGCTGTTGGCTGTGTCTCAGTCCGCTGGGTGCTATGGTTACGTTGGGGAATGAGAGCGCTGGGCTGTTAATAATTGAAGCGGTGTTTGCTACACTACACGTCTGCTTGCCCTGAGTAAAGTTTCATGGGTTCCTGCACAGGCCCTGCACTGTTTCAGGAGGAGGACATGACAACAGAGGGCTTCAGAGGGCTCTCTCATCCATGGCTCAAATCATGGGAGTGCTGCAATCTTCTTTTTTTTGATAATCAGTGCCCTGCCTAGGGAAGAGTCACAGTGACTTTTACCTAACAGGAGCAGGAATAACATGGGAGGAGAAGTTACCTGAAGGGTGTTCGGAAAGTGATATCAAACAGCTTATCAAATCTTAAACCAAAGAATGTCTGACGCAGATTGGTTTCTTTACGATGTTACAGTTTAAAAACAAGTGGGAGAATAACAAAACAGATGCCAGATCCTCGGCTAGATTTCATCCAAGTGGAACAAATTATTCATAAGTCTGAAGAAAACAGAGCATGACAAGCAACCACTACTGTTACTAAAACAAACACTTATCAAAGGTGTGCCCCCCCCCCCCCCCAGTAGGTAAACACTCACTCATTCCTGTGTCACAGGCTCCACTGTGTTCATTTCATTTAAGGCCACTCCTGTTGGCCTCGTAACATGCAAAGAAATCTACTTGTGTACCTTGTTCCACCAATACCAAATCCAGAATCGCTTTTACGATGATACATAACTGGAATTGTTCAACAGTGCAACAAGCTGCTCTGATAGATCATATTGATGAGTGAGACAGACTTAAAGCCTTCAACATAAAGGGGTTAGCGGTTAATGAGCAATACCAAAGCTTCCTCTTGTGTGTAGCGATTGAAGGACAAATACTCCAGAGGTTTGCAGAGCCCACAGACTGGCTGTAATTACACAGTGGGGCTTTGTAGCTCCCACTCACAGTGGAGTTACTCATGGCATGTACTGTCAACAGTGTTTAAGTACTGCAAACACCACAGTTATAGCTACCTGGAGTCACACACAGATGTCCTCACTTGGGTTATGGAGAAATACACCCAAACACACCAAGGAAAAGTAACTCAAATGCATCTATAACAATCAATCAATGCAAAACAAATGGAAGGAATACACTTCAAAAACGGTACAAAGAATGAATGCAAATCGTTATTTAGAGCTAGGTCCTGTGATCTATGATCAATTGTAATGTGAAATGTAGTGCAAACCAACTGCGTGACATAAAGGTACCTGAGGGTAAGTAAGTGAGCACGTTGTTTACTAATGTTATGCTAAATAAACATAAATAAAGTAGATACATAGTCCTTTTTTTTTTATTATAACAGAGTAATATGTACTATGAGGCTATTACATTTAGTTAACTGTTGTTATTTTCTGGATAAATTGATTCATTGTTTGGCCTAGAAAATGTCAGAAATATTGACATCCTAGTTTCTCAAAGTCCAAGGTGAGTTTTTAAAAGTCTAGTTGTGTCAGTCCAAAACCCAAATACATTCAGTGTATCATTATATTAAACCGAAAGCAGAAAACCTCCATATATGAAAGGCTAAAAACACAATTTATACTTAGACATCAGTGCCTCTAGTATCAATGAGGTCTACTTTATAGCATTATTAGATATTTTAAGTTCATTTGATTTAATAGGGACATTCTATATAATGTACATAGACAAACTGAAAACAGCCATTAGATACAAGTATCACTGTGGGAAGAGCAGATGCTCATTTGCATACCCATCCCTAGAAGGGCTCTTATTTAAATGGCTACATGTGATGAAGACATCTGATTCGCTTGATCAGCCAAAAGCAGGCGTTTTAATCCATTTATAGATTCTGAATTGATAGAGCATGTTTTCCATGTCAGCCACAAAAACACAGGAAATGAAACTAGGGCCTAAAACAGTGGCAAGCCGTACCAGTCTAAATGCTTTGGGTTAATGTTCAATCAGTGCATCAGTAAATGCACTGATTGTATTGAAGGGAAATGAAGACGCAGATGTTTGGGAATGCAAAGACGAAACTATTGTGAAACTCTGTGACAGACAGGTAGAAACTTGCATGTGTGGCAGAACCAGTAAAGTGAGGACAAGGAAAGTGGGGCTTGCAGCTGACAGTCACCAACACACACACAAATACACAACAGGACATGTTTCGAAATATCCTGTAATGGGTACATATGATATTCATAGTACTAATATAAGTTGAAAGGCAGTACTCCGTCTTTCACTGAACTCACTATAATCACTACTACCTTGTTTATGCTTTTTGTTTGTTTACTTGATTGTGTCTCGTTTTTTTGTGTTGCTTAGTCCATTTCTTATTTCAATCCCCTTTCTTATGTTTTGATTTTAAGTAGAATTGTACTTCTATTGTTTATTGTTTGTGTATGTTTGAGGTTATAGCATCATCTCACCATTGTTTTTAATTGAATTATGACCTTCCTCTTTATATTTTATTTCCCCTATGCTTCAGAAAAAGGAAACACCCAGTGAATAAGGTAAACCAAGGAAAACTCTCACACCGTGATAACCCAGGTGACACTCAGGCTTGTCTATACCCAACAATAATTAGGAAGCCATTATTAATTTAGTCCTGTAAATATCAAGTCACAGGCCTGTAACTGCTCAAAGCTAGTCCTGTAGCTAATAGCTACATCGTAAGAGGTGAGATTAAAGCTTGCAAATGTACACAAAATATAATGTTTTCTTTCTTAAATTTGGTTTAGTAAAGCGTTTCTGTTTTTAAAATGTTTCTCTTACACTTCTTCCCCTCGTCAGGCTGCTAACATGTCTGACAGCCACGCTCTTTCTGTGTTTGTACAAGGAAGCATTTGACAGCAGTGAAGCAAACTCACCTGTACACTTCCGCTCTGAAGGTTACAACTGTGTTGGTCCGTCCCTCTCACACCACTCGTCGTGAAGTTTAAAAAAATAAAATCCTCTTAAAAGTTGAATTGCCTCAGAGACTGCTCGGGCAGTTTGAAACGTTCTCCTCAATCTTCCTGAAGACAGGTGAGCAGGAGTGGCGTCCACGGCAGGTGAGTTTCACGACGTCATCACGCAAGTGTAGCGTCACCGACCGGAAGTTGGTCCTCCTCATAAATAAATCCTCCACCCAGTTTTGGTTGAGATAAGCACAGGTGGAAGAAGTGTTTACAACTTTTACTAGTAAAAAGTTGCATGTTTGCTCTATAAAAATACTGTTACAAGTACAAGTGATGTCATCAAAACTGTTCTTAAGTAAAATGTTTTTATGTAGTTTAAACTATAATAACACATACCAATGTGTCTGTTGAGGTAACTGAAACTGTTAAATAATTGTAGCGGGGTAAAAGTAGCCTACTTTATTTCCCTCCAAGGATGAAGTAGCATAACATGGAAATACTCAAGAACAGTTAAGTAGTATGGCAAACTTGTACTTAAGTAAAGTACTTAAATCAATGTGTATACATGTTTGTAACTACAATATTTATAATAGGTGTGTAGCAAGTGTATTGCATGCTCATATTTTAAGATAAAAGGTCCCTATTTCAGTAGTAGAATGAACTATATTTACAACTTAGTCAAATGAAGATAGTTGAGTGTTTTCTGGGGGAACTTCTGCTACCCAGCAGTATAGAACTTATAAATTAGCACCACCAATACCAGATTCAACATTAACGTTATGGACACATTACTACATAAATATTTATAATCCAAGATATATAATTATGCAATAGGCCATTCACTATGAGTTACACTACTATTGGTCGTTTGTGGTTCTCTGCTGAGTCCAGATGATTGTTGGAGTTCTTCACTTTTTTATTTCTGCCCAATTTAATTTAGGTGGTCCAATTCTTTATTTTGATTAAAGCATTCAAATACTTTTTATATATTTTTTTACAATTCATAAATATTTTTTAAATGGTCTGTAACTATATCCATTCATTTCTTTAAATGGAAACAACTATATGAATTAGTCTTGATATAACCAATTGTGGACGGTCAGGTACTACACTTAACTGAAAAAAACTAATATTATATTCTGTATTGTTATAGGATAACAACTGTATAGATCCCATGGTAAAATGCACGAATACCCCAGCAGTATATATATATTTAAAAAAATACACTCAGCTGCAACATTATAGTGATGAACACATCAGTAAATCATTAATTATAATTAAATCATGTAACTAATTATTCTAAGGAGGGCCATAGTGCAGAATGAGTGCTTTCACTTTATGTACATTTGTAGGCAAATACCTTAAATATTAATCATTTAAATAACTTTGAAAACAGGACTTTTAGTTGTACTCTTACTTGTTACAGAGTATTTCTACACTGTGGTTTAATTAATTTGACCGAATTAAAAAAACGTAAGTTCTTTGTCCACCACTGGATGTCACCCCATGTTTCCTCTCCCTAAAAGCGCCCACAGTAAACCTCTTGGATCGAGGACAGAGGATTTATAGTCGGTAGGGAAGAATGGGACAACCCCGATGAACAAAAGACTCCCGAGTTTCAGCAATCTTCAAGTTTTTATTTGTTTACAAAGTTAAGATTGCAATTTCATATAGTCCTTCCTTTAATGAGTAGAAAACCTTTTTAAAGAATTAGTCGAAAGGCACAAATTTTACAATATATACATTTGGATCTAAATTATAAATATATAGAAAACAAAAGCACAACCCAGAATAAAAGTGCTGAACACAGTTTCTTTTTTTACAGAAAAAATAGGCTTTGTTTAAAAATACATACAATCAGTAGCATGTTTTTTGTTTCATTTTTTGTTAGCAATAAATTATTTCGAGAGTGATAAGATGATGTAATATGCAAACGGTAGAGAAACAAGAACAGATGGTTACAGTATACACAGAGCTATCCATCAAAGATCAGGAAAACAACAAGCTTGCAACGCTCAATCATAACCCACAAGAGAACAGTAACTTGATTATGCCATTCTTAGTGCAAAATGATAATAAACCATAAAAAGGCCTAAAAACACTAATAAACTTGAATAAAAACAACGCTTTTTCTTCCTAAAAACGCAGTCCAAATCCCTCAAATGCATAAAGCTTTATTTTTGTGACTATAAAAACAAATTGAAGGCAAGTCTTTTGCAGACCGATGTCCGGGAATGTGCCTGATGAGGAATATTAAAAGCTAAATTGTTGCAATGTTGCAAATGAAAAGAAATGAAGCGTTATCAAGAATCGGAGAAACTGGGAGACTGAACCTAGAAATCTGTTTTACGCTGAGGCTTGGACAGATCAATTGCACGTAGATAACCAAGATACGAATCGACTCTAAAACCCGTCAGCTTTAACATTAATTAAATGTCCAGCACAGATAAAACTGTTCCTTAAAAAGAAACAGCCGTTGATCTTTGCCCTAAGAAGGCATAAACATTTATAATCACTGACATGTTCACAAGGACAAACAACAAACCCATCACATTAATTCTAAAACATAAATACAGCAAGAGTCACAGCACAGTTAAGAACAGAATAGCACATGAACTGGTTAGTTTCACCGCTGTTAAAAGGGGATATGATATATTTCTGCCAACGCCCGCCGTTACACCTCTTGGTTTCTTCCTGAGATTGATAAAGGTCTGATATCTTAGAGCCAGTAACTTTTCGGGGGTGTCTGTGGAATACTTTGGTATCTCTCTGCAAATTGGAGGCCTGACAAAAGGTCTACGAGTTGGAGAAACAATTATTTTTGAGTGAAAGCAAAACTGAAATGAGCAGAAATAAATCCAGACACTGTACAGCAGTACAGAACAGTGCAATCTTATTTGGTGGCAGGTTATAATATAATTTGTTTTATAGTAATCTTGAAAACTAGAAACTTCCCTGACCAAAAACATTTCCATGACTATTCTAATAAGCAGGATAACATATCTAAAATCTAAATATCCCTTAAATATAAATAACAATAACTTTTCATAATAACGAGGACTAAAACATCATCCCGTGAAAACTTACTATACAAAGGTGGTATGCATTTCAGAATCTGTTTAACTAAAAGACTATGAAGCACAACAGAAATAAAAGATTCATACCATGCAAAGGTAACCACAAAGCTTTGCCTGTTGAGCGTAAACAGTACTTAGGCATCTCTGTTTCACAATAAAATGTAGAATATGGTTTTATTGCTTTTTGATCACTTGAACTTATCCCGGCATTTTGTCATGAACCAACTACAGTGCATCGTTTTCACACAAACATGGCCAGATCTCACAGGTACTACCATACACAGAGAACATCACAAGTCTGCACGTTTCAAATGTTTTTATGGTCTTGCTGGCTGAAATGGAAACAGATTTAATGAGAAATGGATCTCAGAATTTGCTAAAAACAACATGACTTTCATTTTCAGACATCAAGACAATAAAAGCTTGAAATTCTTTGTCACTGTACTTAAAAACTAAAATGTTTGTTGGTAAAAATGACACAACAACAACAAAGACTTTCCTGAGAAATTCAAAATCAGATCAAACCAGGAGTCACATCACTAAATGTTATTGTCAGATTTTTAAAAAATGGGGGTGATAACATTTTTGGACATTTTTGCTTTATCCATGTTGCTCAATAATAATCCGTGCCGTACTGACCACACTGTCGCTCGCATCAACAGGGACAGAAGGACACAGAGAAGAAGATAAGTCTGCCGCTCTATTATTTTAGGAGCAGCTACATACGAGCACACACAGAGTAATGGCGGCTTCTTCCTGAAACCCACCACCAGCATAGTGTAACACAAACATCGACTGACGGACTCAGGGGGGATAAAAGATAAATACAAATACACCACGTTTAAATTAAAAAAATTAAAAACCAACGCTCAAGAGTACAAATCTATACATTAGGCTACATGGATTTTTAAAGACTGCATTTATAGATTTTTCCAAAGGCACTGTTTGCAACAGCAGACTGCTCTTCCTCTCTCCTTTTCCTCACACTAGTGTTCATACAAGCAGGGAGGGAAACAAGAGGGAGCATGTAGGAGGAAAAAAAAGGAAAACTGAGGCATTTCATGGCTTATCAGCTAAAAGATTCCATCCGTTTGCTTTCCCCCCCATCTTCCAGTTCAATGTATCTTTTGTTTCACTCAAACCAAGCCTTGCATACAGCCTTGTTTTAGTCAAGACAAAACGGCCATGAAGCGAAGTAACAGTAAAGCAAAGTCTAAAGATGTGGTTAAAGCCGGTGAAAGGCATTGAGAGCTTCCAGCAACTTCACCAATCATACCTCGTCAAATCAGCAGCGGGAGGTTTATTAAAGATTTCTACACCTCTATGAATGAGCTTTTGTTTGGACAGCTCGTACGATCAATAAAATACAGTTACTACTTTTCACTTCTTTTATACAGCTGCCTTTCACTTTGGTGCAGAAATCTGATATTGATGGAGCCCGCTATGGCCTAAAGCAGGTGGACGCTACAGGTGGGTAAAGGGAAGGGTGAGCCGAGCGCAGGGCAGGCAGTGACGTGACTATAGGCCCTGAGGGGGAGGGGAGGAGGGGGGGTAGGTCCGAGGAGGCGTTCATAGACGGCAGCAAACAAGACACAATCTGCTTTAAAAGACAACAAAAGAAGAAGCAAAGTCCAGACGAGCTGTAGCTGTTCGAGCTCTCACTCTGGTGGGCGGTACTTAATGACGGACTTGCGATCTGCCGCCTCTTGCAGCATGATGTTCAGAGCCTCGCGGGCGTCCAGGGTGCTGGGGTGTCCGTTGGGCAATGAAAGCGAGTCCGACTGAGGGAGGAGATAGTTTGACGAGAAGCGAGGCGACGAGTTGGAAAACAGAGAGGAGGACGGGGACGGGCTGGAGAAGAGAGAAGACGGGGAGGGGGTGGGGACGAGGCTGGAGGCGGGGGGGAGGCCGGCCGAGGCGAGAGGAACCAGGTTGTTGGAGGTGGAGGACGCCGAGGAAGAGCAGGAGGAGGTAGAGGAGGAAGGGCTGGCTTTCTGTGTGGGCATCTGGGGAGACAGGGGCAAGTCAAATAAATCTAACAAGTCTTGGTGGTTGTTGGCCAGCAGGTTCTGGCTCCTCTGCTGTAGATGATGCTGCTGCTGCTGCTGCTGCTGCTGCTGCTGCTGCTGCTGCTGCTGCTGCTGCTGCTGCTGATGCTGATGCTGCTGATGCTGCTGATGCTGCTGATGCTGCTGCTGCAAGAGAAGCGGCTGCTGGATCTGTGCAGCCTGCTGCTGAGCATTCGATGCAGTCTGAGAGATCAGAGACTCCAGGTTAAAGTCGTCTGTGAATGCAGCGTGGCCTGCCAGACTTTCCAGATTTAGCCCGCCGTCCGTGGTGTCCGGGGAGGGGGAGCCCATAGTCAGATCCAAGATGTCATCCAGGGGATTCTTGGAGGACAAGCTGGGCGACAGCGTGGTCTGTTGGAGTGAAGCGTTTTTCCTCTGTTGAAAAGGCGGTGCGAAGGACTGGGAGAAAAACTGGGAGCGGATGCTGGCCATGTTGGAGGCCTGGTTGGTGGAGGCGGAGGTGTTGAGCCAGCTGTTGTGGGTCCTCTGCTGGGATTGGCCGGGGTTTCTCTGTAAGGACAGCAGGGGGACGTTCTTGGAGGGCTGCTGTAAAGCCGACTTGGCTTGGGCTTGCAGTCTCTGAAGCTGAGAGCCGCTCAAGCTCTGCCTTCGCTGAGCGTTTTCGTTCGGTTTCTGTTTGAGGAGCTGGCTCTGGGCGAGAGTCTGAGCGAGGGACTGGTTGAGCATCGGCTTCTGGTTGAACAGATTGGCCAGGAGGTGTTTGTTGTCCTGCTCCATTTTACGATTGCGGTCCTGAGCCTGCCGCTGCTCCACGGCCTGCTGCTCCCGCTCCTTCCGCCTCCTCTTCACCTCGTCGTCCATCTGCAGCAGCTCCTCTCGCACGCGCGCCACACAGTTCTCCGGGATCTTGATACCTGCGTCAGATGAGAGGACAGTCAGGTCACAGCTTTCAGGGAGGGAAATACTAAAGTAGTGTATTTAAAGATTAATGCAAGTTAGATTTAAGACTTTAATAATGCCACTAGGAATTTCCCACTTTTCAATAACGAAATGTCTATTGTAACATAAAATAGACCCCTTTTTTGTTGCTAGCTATAAGACTCAGCAGAAAAACATAAGCTATCCTGATCCCCAATCAGATGTTTGGTAAATTATTTAAATAATAGATAATTTGAGAATAATAGAATCATTTTAAATGTCAGTCAGAAAAAATACAAATCGAAAATATTACATATTTAGGACTTTTGAAAGATTTATTTAAGAAACGATCAAACCAATGACGGCCATATTTTTTGATTCATTAATACATTAATATAATTACTTTTGAAGGATCCATGAGAACCCTGTTAAAGACTCAATTTATTATTTTATAGATAAACACGGCTGTTGACGGCTGTTTGTATGTATCACAGCACATGTATTAAATGCAACAGTAAACAGACTGGTACGCTTAGCACTGATTACGACATGATATATGATATGTGCTCCAGTTTATGATTCTTAAAATAAATATTTATTGTAAATATATATATATATATATATACATAAATAAATATATCTGTTTTTTTCTCCTATTAAACCAATATAAACTCCTGTGTATAATATCTGTGTATAATGCACAGAGAAAACAGATCCAACACTGATTCTCTGGTGAGCGTCAACATGCTGTTGGGATTTCATGGATGTTCAATTGCGACCTTTTCTGTGTGTCTGGCCTAATGATTTCATAACAGTCATCTTACGTCAATTTAGTGCAACCAGGAGTCCATAGGAGACAAATATGTGAGTGAGCGACAATTTCATTTCCTCAATGTGTCATAAAGAGGCGTCAGCACTTTGACAGCATCAAAACAACTCACTGTTCAAATCCACATTTAAAACTGTTTCTTCTATTGTGTCAATGTTTACAGAATATCCCTGCTTATATAAAAGGTGGGACCTATTCTAAACACCTCGTGGAAATGTGTGTTAGGAAAGTGAATATGATTTTTTATAAAGGGGGGTTGTACTGACCGACTTGCTTGTTATGATGTTTGGTTTTTAGACGGACAATCTGCAGGATGCTGGAGCTGGTGAGGTCTGACACCACATCAGACACACGCTTCCACACACGCAGCAGAGCTCCACACAGCATGTGGTACTGACGAAGCCGCATGCCCTGCAGACACTCTTGACCTTCCTCTATCTTCTTACACTTCCCATTCCTAGGAACAGGACAGGAAAGAAAAAGAATATTATTTTTAAGAAGCACTCACTTTTCTACCATAACACTGTTTCAAGAAAACTGTATGGCAGGATTAGAGACGAGGGTTTAACCCTTAGATGCATGAGTGACTGGACCCTACACTCTTCTATAAGTGGGTCAAAAAGGACCCGTACATTGTGTTTTCATGCCATTTTGTCCTTTTGGTTAAGAAAAATCACTTGTATAATATTTAGTATTATATTTTGGTTCACACTAGAAATATTTTATATTTAATTTTTCACTATTTATAATTTTACATTTTGAAAAAAACAACGAAATTCCATAGAAAATGCATGCGGGTCATTTTTGACCCACTTATGGAAGCTTGGGGTAGTAATACAAAAACTACAATTTCTTAAAATGTATTAAATCTAAAATGTGAATGGCATGATATCCAAAACATGTTTTTTGAAGAATAGCTGGAATATGAAATGATAAAAAAATGTAATTACAAAGATACTTCAAGAAAACCACCTCACCGGGTCAAAAAAGACCCACTTATGCATCTAAGGGTTAGAGGTCATTGTTCATCCGGTGACACGGGCACATGTGTGGGTTATTTCTTCATGACTAGTTCTCAGGTGATCTGCAAATCCTCAGGAATGGCATCTGACCTGTAAGCCACCCTGACTGCATTAGTAGTAGCAGCCTGATTGGATGGATTGAGCCATTAATCCCACGGGACAATGGGAATTGCTGCTTACCAGTTGGCATGGCTGCACTTCTTGAAGGAGAAGTTGAACTGGTTCTCCCAGCTGTCCCTCGCTTCCTCTGAAGTCACCTGGGAGAGAACATTTACAACATTTAAAATCAGCAAAAAAAACTCAATTACCCAGCTTTAAAAAATATATCTTAGCCTAAGTGGAAACTTAAGTAAAAAGAGGCTTCTTTAACTTCAGACTAAAAGTCATATTGTAGTTTTACCTTGTTTTTTATTATTGTCAAGATGAAAATAACTATTGTGTTTTTGGTTTAGGGGTAAGTTATTTACCCCCAGATTAATAATAACTTGTTTTTAATGTATGGAAGAGAAACAGTTACAATTTAAATAAACAACATTGGCATGAACTTCATCCTCTTCATGTATATGTATTTCTAATTGTTACGCCAATCATGTTATTGTTAAGGAGTTTAGGAGTTTGTGTTACACATGGGCGGTTCTAGGGGGGGCCAGTGCCCCCCTAACACTGACCTCTGACCCCCCTGTGGCCCCCCTAAAAATGAAAAGTGAAAAAAATTAAAAATGTATGATTTATTACACGATTTATTGAATGACGGAATAGACGGAACTAATGTTATTCGTCATTCTAGAGCAGTGCACTCAGGACCCATTAGAGCGGTGCACTCAAGACCCATTGTCCGGCTGAAGCGCGCGAAAAACAAACACTTTTCATCTCGGATCATCAGAGGCTGTTGCATCCAAGAAAGACTGATCGAAACGTTTCGAGAGACTACCACGATAATTGAAGGTGATTTAAACCAGGGCCGGCCCTTGGTATAGGCAGTATAGGCGAATGCTAAGGGCGCATCAATCTATGGGGGGCGCCAAAAATAAAAAATAAATTAAAAAAAAATGTTTTATTTCATAACACAATTTCCCGATTTTGGATCAACAAAGTACATCTTATTATCTTATACTAACAGAACCACGCGCGCCAGCTAAAATCTTGCCTAGGGCAGCAAATTGGTCAGGGCCGGCCCTGATTTAAACTATTGTATCCGTGTAATTGTAGATGTAAAGTAGAGATGTAACTGTTCATTGCCTTTATTTTTATATAAATATGGTGTTAGTGCAAAAATTGTACTATAACTTAAGCTGAAGCTAACAGTAATAACTATAAGATATATCTGAAATAAATAAGTGTACTGAAACAAATACCAATAACTGTATTGCATTGTTTTCTTATGCGCAATTACTTCATACGGTCTAGTTCTCTTTTTCATCCTGCATTTATTGTGCCCCCCTCAGAAAATAACTGGCCTCCCAGTGGCCCCCCCCAGTCAAATTGGTCTAGAACCGCCACTGGTGTTACATTCACATATTGTTCTGCTCCAGAGTGCCTTGAATATTTCACAGTTCAGTACTCCTCCATGGCCACCAGGGGGCATCGTACACCATATTTAAATTACATTTACTCCAAATAGCAAAGGGAACACTTCAAGCTTTTCTTATGTCAATCCTTCCCTGGCTATAATCAAATATTTTTACAAATGTTTTTATTGTTATCTTAAAGAAACTCTGAAGAAAACACAACAAGCTAAAATATGACCTTTAAAATATTTAGATGAAAAACAAAAATGTTCTCTCCTCATTTTAGAGACATTTTACAGTACATAAACCTCCATATAGAGACAAAACTATAATCCTGACCGATTAAAAAATCCACAATTTAGTTTATTACCTTTCTGTAGCGCAGCTGCAGGTTGTCCAGGCTCTCGGGGTGCGTCTGCTTGCCGATGTTGGGCTTGTAGACGATGAGGTTCTTGCCTCTTCCCTGCTCAGCTAGCAGCACACATGGGTGGTTCCCTCGCAGCTGTGGAGAGAGCAGAGGTTAAATATTTACTCTGTTTAAGGGACTAATAGCGTTTTCAGTGGACAACCATTGAGTCATCACATGCTAATCTGAGAGGTCTGTATTCAAATAGAGATATAATGCCTTTTATAGTAATCCTCAGGTACAGTTTGCTTATTATAACATGGACTCACCTTCAGCGACAGGTAGAATCCGTCATCGGGCCCGCTGAGCTTCAGGGACCTGTTGAGGGCCTCGTCCCAGGGCATGCCTCGGTCCACGCTGATCTGCAGGGACACAAGGAATCAGAGATGTAAGCATGTGCTGGGAAAAAGAAAGATGGGGGACCAAGCAGCTGCGAAACCACACACTGAAGGTGAGACAGACTCTTGAATGGAAACTCCAGAGCATGTCCTCCAGAAAATATACACAGTCGTGGGATGATGAGACAATGGGCCCGTGGGCACAGACATTTAAACCCCACCACCTGTCTTATATTGGAGCACGACACGGTCTTTATAGTTGTTGAGTGTCTTTTTATTGTTGTGTGGTGTCCCTGTGTGGTCATTGGGCGTTTCTTTGTAGTCATTTTGCTTCTTATATGGTCGTTTTGTTTAGCTTTGTGGTCATTCTGTGTTCCTTTGTGGTTGTTTAGTGTCTTTTATGGTTGTTTTGTGTCTCTGTGTGGTAAATGCTTCTCAGTGTTTTGTGTTCAGACTTTTTGTAGCCATTTGGTGTCTCTTTGCATTTACATTGTGTCTATTCTTAGTTGTTTTATGTTCTATTGTTGGCGATAACTGACTTCAGTTGCAGGTAAAGGCCAGAGGAGCCGTGACACTGAACAGGCCTGTTCTGTAACTCATTCATGCCAACAGACACTATTCCTCTATACTCGCATAACAGGTCCTAGTTGTGCAGCGTTCTGCCTGGCTACAACTTTGAAATGTCAAAGGCAAGTCAGCCTGCAGCCGAAAGCAGAAGATTTATCGTAATTATCCTGTTCTCATCTGCCACTCGTGTCTACATAGGCCCCCTTTAGCCATGGGCTAACCCTGCATGATAACAGCCTTATTTCTGGTAAAGTGACATCAATCGTCATTTAGTCTAGAGCAGGGGTTCTCAAAGTGCGGCCCGCGGGCCAATGGCGGCCCTCGGAAATGTTTCTGGCGGCCCGCGATAGTTAATGTGACACGCTGAAATGCATGCGTTATATTTTAATCCTCCATGGTTGTATCTCGTAAGAATTAGAATGAGTAGCTTTCCAGCGGTATCTCCTGTGAGACTGTAACCAGGGCACAGCAATATGGCCGCTCAAAGCAGCTTGACTTTACACTGTGTGGGATTGGTGGATTTGTGTGTCCGTCAAGGAAATCTCGGCCGGCAGCCATCATGGTCTGAAATGACCAATGGACATCGAGAAATCACTAAGGGCCTACCCACCAAGTAAAAAAAACATAAACCACGTGTCTCCCATCAGTTTCCTTTAGTGAGGAGAGAGAGAGACAGATAAAATGGCTAAAAAAAACGTTACAGTTGCCGACTTCGCTAGAGATTTTTTTTCGCTAGCAGCAGTGAAGATAGAGCCTCAGAACCTGAAGTCTTCGACTCTTCTGAAGAAGAAGAATACAAAGACAACAACAAGGATCCATTTGGACATGGGTAAGTGTAAATATTACAGTAATAGTGTACTAGCAATGTGTGGGGAATACCGCGAAAATGAACAATAGGTTTATTGATATATATTTTTTATCGATAGTCATTAACTTTTTATTGGGACAAAATAGACTCAAACGTTTACTCTGTGTTAACGTTATTTTGGTGTGTAAAAGTGAGATTACATGTGTAGATGATTAAATTAATCATTTATTCGTCCCACAACGGAGACATTTACAGTGACATGTTTTTGCCATCGATTATTTTATCATACTGTTCTGTACAGATGAGACTGTCATAGATTTATTTATATGTGTGCCTGTTATTATTTTACCGTCCTGTACAGATGAGACTTTGTAATCAGATGTAGCCTATGTATATGTGTGTCTGTGATTTTATACTGAATGTAAAGTAACTGGAAATACCTGTGTGTGTGTGTGTGTGTGTGTGTGTGTGTGTGTGTGTGTGAGAGATCGAGATCGAGAGAGACTCCTTCTGCAACCTCTCAAACTTTATTTTTATGTGTGCATTGTTATTTGTGCTTGAGCAACATTTTACTTGAACTTTATTTCAATACAATTTGTTGTAATTATTGTCCTACACAGGCGGCGTTTATCCAGCAGCCACAACATCCATCTGTGCCGGCCCCCAGGTCAAGATCTACTGTGGCTCAAGGGCCTTCACCAGAGCCATCACCACCAAGGACCAGCAGACCATCATCACTACAGCTGCCTCCACCTCCATCTGTGGCTGCCATCAGGTCAAGATACACCTCAGCACAAAGGCTCCACCACAGCCATCACCTTCAACCCAGCCAGCAAGGAGGTCTCGTGGAGGTCTCGTATAGCACTTGTACACCCCACCTACACAGCAGCCCATGCACCATCACCCCCACCTACACAGCAGCCAGACCCACTGTCTTGGAAGACAGACAAAGACCTTGACACTGTCTTGACATTTATAATGAATAGTTGGTTGAAAGTTCTGATGTTCAATATTGTAAATAGTGAGATTTTCCAGTTTCTTATATTTATATAAATAGTTGGTTGAAAAAAACATATTTATAATAAATTGTTGGTTGAAAAAAAAAAGGTTGAATGCTCAATTTGTATTTGTACACATCACATGAACCTTGGTATGTGATATGAAGTCATTATTCAGTCCTAATGTATCGCAGTCCCTGCTTTGGTGAAAGTGATAAACACCTATTTTACTCAAAATTTGAATTTAATGTTTTTCATTTTAGACATGAATAACACATTTATATACAGTGTAATTCAAATATTGCACTGCTTTTGTGATCCTAGGACTTTGGTAACCAAATCTAAAACACCAAAACAATTCGATCACATGAGTAAATTTGTGTTTTCACAAGAGTTTTGAAGATTTTCCAAAAATTGGATTTCACATTTTAAGCTTTTGAGCTACTTATCTCATCAAACAGTGCTCTAAGGTGAGCAATATGCATATATAGCAATACCAGAGATTGTCCTGAACATTTTGATATTTAACACATGGGGTGCCATGTTAGAAGAAATACATTTAAAAGGTGATTTAAGAAAACATCTAAAAATCGAGAAAATACCCTTAGACTCCAGAGGGTTAAGAATGGTAAAACTGCGCCCCCTGGGTTGTCATTCCTAAATTATGAATGACAGCTTGTGGAAAGTTTGCTAGACTACTGGTTGCATGGCAACTAGGCATCTCGCGAGTTGCGGTAATTGGTTAGTACAATAAAGAAAGGATTTGTTTTGGAATTATTTTGTGTTCCGTTTTTTCTTGGGCGGCCCTCAATCCAATATTGGGTACCTAAATTGGCCCTCACTCATCAAAACTTTGAGAACCCCTGGTCTAGAGGTATCTTCTCGAGTTACTTCTTGGTCTGCAGGTAATGTGGAACACACTCTTTACCAACTTTCTTTGTGTGCAAATCATTTGTGCACTGTGCAAAAATTGTCAGGAAATCCTGAATAAATGTATCCTCATTCATTGGATGTTCCTACACTATCAGTGGATATTGCTTTGTTGGCATTTCACGTGAACTTTCATAGTTTTGGTCTGTTGGGAGCCTTCATGCCCCGCTGGGTTTATTATAAAAGGAGAGAGGAGAAGATTTGCATATATTTGGGGTCATGTTTATTCATAGAATTAACCTTTTTGTTTGGGATGTGTGATGCCTCAAGATCAGCCTGTTAATGTGCCTCTGCTCCTCACACTGTGTGAAGGGATTGAACCAGTCTCTCAAAGCTTCTCTTCAAAATCTAATTTGTTACTATTTACTAAATGTAAGAATTTCTGTTGATTGTAGCTGTTTATTTTACCAGTTTTACATGTTTTGACCATAGTTTGCTCCACTCCAATACAGGACTATTTAAGAGACAAGACACTAGATCATGTTGAACATAAAGCAGATTTCAAGGAGTATCTCAAGAGACAATTATGATATTTTGAACATAGGATTTTAGTCTCACAACACGTGTTTCACAAAAGCTATCTAACAATGTAGTCGACATGAGATGATGAGGATTACCTTATAGAGAACAACCTGGCCATCCTGAGGGTTTCCAACCGTCATGAACGTTTCCTGCTTCTCCTCATAGATCTCATCGTTACCTGGAGCAAGGTCTGCCAGAGAGAAAAGAGGCGATTACTAACATTAAAAGATCAGGAACACAATCGCAGACAATTGAAGAAAGGAACAGACACTATTGCCAGATTTAACAACCATACCATTTATAAAAATAACGATGTTAGGATCCACACTGATGGAGGTTAATGTTCTGTAAACAGTGGCACCATGCAAGTGCTTAAACTCCACATTTGACCTCCATACCTAGGATTCCCATGTCATATTTGCCCTCCTTCTTATCCTTCTCGATCAGGTAGTCAAAGTTGTCGGTGAAGTACTGGAAGAGATGGTTCTGCTTGTGGACCTCCAGGCCCAGGATGCGGTTTAAGAACTTTGTGATGCTGCAGTCTGGGATAAAAGCACAATGCAGAACAATTAATGTGGCTCATTTTTTCATCACAAATAAACAAATAACAGAGCTATGGAATTGTGTCTGCATGCATCTTGGACACTCTACCTTTCTCAGTATTGATCCCAAAGCGTGGCTCCCTACAAAAGATGCCTACATCCATCATCCCAATCTTCATCTCTGAAAAAAGAACAAACTAGTTTTAGTGATCAATCACAGTGAACATGCTTGGGAGTTGGTTCTCTGTTTACAGATGCTGACAGTAAACAACACCTCAAATAACTCACCTCTGAAGAACATGGCTTCACCCCCAGGGTATCCTTTGGGAGGGGGCACCTTGTTCTCTATATGGCCAAGGATTGCTTTGGTGATTTTATCTAGAGCCTTGGTGCCATACTGCAAGAAATAGGGGCATGTAATCAGTATAGGAACATTATCTGAGAACAATCACTTAGCAACACGAATGAACAGCGAGAAAAACAAGTCCTCTTTAAAGCTTAAAAATAATCATGTTTTCACACTTTAAAAAGTCAGTTACATTTTCTTACCTTGTTCTCGAAATTGTACTTGCTCAGGTCTCTGGATTCTGTGGCTCTTCTGTCTCCGTGGGTTAATGCACCCTGCAAAGTGGATTAGCACAAGTGGTATTATTAGTATTAGCAGTATTAGGTTTACAGTCTTCAGAGCTTCGTCACATTAATACAGATGGACAAAGTGACGTCGGATAAATCTGTGTTTGCCGTTCATCAATAGAACACAACCCGACTTCACTGCTTAGCGTTGGTATGCGAGGATGAGCATTACCTACACGAATGGATAATGTGCAGCCGTTATAGGATTACTTTGATTACAATGGCTAAGAGCGTGGACTTGTTGCCCTCTCGTTCATAGATCCTGCTCTTTTAATGATAAGAGAAACAGTATTTAACATAAGTGAGGAGTGAGGATATTGAATTCAATATTCACAAGTTGGCAAAGTACAGAAATCCCTTCAAAATAATTGAACTATGATTAGCAAATATGCCTAATATGTCTGATACAGCTGTTGTTTCCTAGTAATATGTATCTAAAGCAAAGTTAAATTCCAGTCAGAGATCCAGGGATTGAACCTGTAGTAGTCTCACTTTGAAAAAGGTCCCATTTGTATTGCAGGTACATTGACTCTGCATCAAACAGCAGCATTGTGATATAGTGGAGAAACATCATTCAAACACAAGTTTATTTTTATGATGGGTATAATTAAAAGCCCAGCCTGCCTTTGTATTATCTTCCATACTCGTAAGATTTTAAGTGAACTGGAAAGGGAGCGGTGAGGGAAAACTTGAAGAAGAAGCAAAGTCAACAGAAGATCAGCAAGGTGCTGGCTCTGCCTACTCAGAAAGATGTCTTAAGCTACCAAAACAAAGAATATCTGAGCCAAATATGACTTCACTGCTGATCTGGAGTCTGCCCGTTTCTAGGGATCGTCAACAATCCAAGTATAAGCGACTGCGTGTGTGCGTGTGCATGTGTGTGTTGTATCGGGTTCAGGCATGCAGAGGACATGTGACCTATGCTTGATGCTGATTTACCGAACAAAGCTGGCAACCGCATGAACGACTTTCTGGAACCCTTCTTGCTGTTTTCCCAAAAGAAGTGTCATGCTGTGTCACTATGGAAATAAATGACTGCTTGCACTGAAATGCATTGATAATTATGGAAAGTAACCCCGAGAGTTATAAATTATTCAGACAAACATTTTAGCTTTTTCTGCTTATTCAGTTTTCCATTATTGAGCCGGAGAAGGGGAAGACCCAGAATCCCTTGAGGTTTGTGGAGAAAAGTTGATGTAACTTCAAGTGAACCGCCAATAAAAGAGACTCCATGGAGGAGCCTGGGAATACCCCGTGCCACAGGAAGGGCAAGGAGTGAGGCTGAGAGGGCAACGTGTTGGCAACCTATAACAATCAATAAATACTAACTCTCTCCATTTACAAAAGAAACACTCTTCTCACAATCCAAAGGACAACAAGATGAAAATGATTGTTTTCCCATGAGACAGGTTTCACTCAGTTAACAGGAAAATCACACATAAAAGTAGTACAAATTGTTCAAAAATAAAAGGAGATGCAACACACCAACACCCACACATTCACATTTATAAAAGCTCTATTTACCAGGCTCTCTAGTCTCTTCGCCACAATGGAGGCAAAACGTCTCTCCCCGGCCAACTCTGAAATGAGGAAGATGTACTCTGGAGCCGTGACCTGATTGGACCGATGGGTGCGACCTGCAGAGACAAGACAAAAACAATAATAAGACATTATTGATAACATTTGAGAAGTTCAAGTCACTGTGAGTGCAACATTTTTCAACAGACAGTATCAAAATCCAGACGGACAAAAACAAGTTACAGATTTGATGACGACTTGTTTCTTCTTAAGAAAAGAGGAGTGAGAAAGGGGATCTTTATGATGACAACATCAGATGAGATCTGTTCTTAAATCGACAGTTTCACATCATGTTTCAGACCCTGAACAGTGCCTTATTCATTAACAACAAGAAACTGGAAGCTGAGAAGAATTCCTTAGAACCTCTATGAGGAAATGAATATAACTGTAACAATGTGTGTGTGTGTGTGTGTGTGTGTGTGTGTGTGTGTGTGTGTGTGTGTGTGCCAACCTGCCAAACAAGAATTAAGATAAGAGTCTGACACTAAGAAAGAAGGCTGCTTACAAATTAATTATTACTAGTATTATAATTACGTCAAACTATTTATTTATTCTGTCCTATACGATGGTGTGTGAGTGTGCTTGAGTGAGTACAGCATTTATTTTAAAACAACAAATGCTGAGATGCTACTTGACTAGATGATTGCCTTTGCCTGGCAGCAAACTCACACTTAACCATGTAGACTAACAGAAAGAAAACCGCACATTACGAGGAGTGTTTCAGTGAGACAAGACAGCATTTGTCCTAATTTGGTAATCCCTGTTCTACACATGAGATAAACCCAGGCAGGGCTGCACAGAGAGACCCCGTCCTGACACATTTCTCTTTTAACGTTCCTGATAGCCTTTGACCCTGAAACAGCTGCTTGTTTCAGGCTTATACACAGCCCATCTTTCAACATGTTACATCTTAAAGTGCAGCGGCAAAGAACTTCCAGCTCATTGATAAAAAAGTAGTAGTGGTAGTAGAGATATATTCAGACCTTGAAAGAAAAAAGAAATATGAAAAAAGGAAAAAAAGAATAGATGATTTTTATTCTGACGGAGCATATTTTTATTGGTAACCTTTTCACAATTTCCTACATAGTAACTTTAAAGTATTTCTGTTTACTACCTTATTTAAAAAATGTGCAGACTGAACTAGACACTATAACAACAATTGCAAAAATTAAACTATGTTAAATTGAAATTCTTCGCTATACTGCATATGGGCAGCAAATACTAACTCACATTTGGCAAGCAGCAAACACGAGAAACACAGTTAGGCTAGCGCTAGCTTAAGATACCCAAGATTCAGACCACAAAAAGGACCCTGGCTAGTCTAAGTGGGAAAGAAGGAATGTGTTTTTATTGCGGTCCATGTTTTCCTGTTCACTTTTGAAAGACTCATTGTTTGATTTCCTGACTCACCGAATTGCTGAATGGCCCTGTCTGCACTCCAAGGCAGCTCTAAGGTCATGTGGACCCTGCGCCGCTGGTTCTTCACTCGCTTGTCCGCCTGCAGGGAAATCCCAGAGCTGGCCGCCTCAGAGATGATGGCCACGTACTGAAGGAAAAGTTAGGATAGTTAGTAAAAAAAATCTTATTGCACAATGTTCATAAAGCAGTACCTTCCTTTAAAGGTCTCCTATTATACTGTTTTTCATCAATATATTATAGGTCTCAGATATATACAAAACATGTCTTTGAAGTGTTTGGCTCCAAACACCAAACAGATCATGCATTGCAGCATCCCATAATCCCCTCTGTTTCAAAAGTGCTGATTCTCTGTCTGTTACTTTAGATGAAAATAAGGAGCCCCTCCCCACGCCCCTCTGAGAGAGATTTGGTTAAGAAAACCACAATGGTGCTCTAGGAGGAGATTCAGCTGATGAGGTGGGGGGGGGTTACCTTGGTTGGTGATTGGCTAATGGTTACACAAGCCAACAAATTGTTATGACATCATAAAGTGGTCAAAATCTGATCAGCTCATTTTCAGACAGGTTTTTATAGAAATGGATCAGGACAAAAAGTAAGAAAATCTTTTTTCCTGAAACGTTCAGAATCTCTTTACACAGAGGGGACACATGTTTATGTATAAAAGACATGAAAAAGTGGCTTTTGCATAATAGGTGACCTTTAAGATACAGAATGTTAGCAGCAAAGTCATGCAGGACCTATTTCTCCTTGATTGATTGGGGTTTCTGACCTTCTCTGCACTCATGAAGCGATCTTTCTCCTTGATGTTGATGTGGTCGATGGTCAGACCCTGCTCAGCCCGAGACTCGTAGCGGACGCTGCCATCAGGGCGCCGCACCACACGACCCTTGCGACCAGTCATCTGCGGAAAAAAAATTCATCACAATGTCAAGTAAATAAATAATACATTAATTTAAGTGGAGACAGTGACACCATTTAGGCTCATTAGAAACACATAGCGCGGTCGTTTATCGTTCTTTGCTTTGGCTCTTACCTCTGAGACTTGATCTGGTCCTCCAAACTTATCGATGAGCTCGTCCAAGGTGTTGAGAGGTAGTTCTTTTCCCAGCACGGATATTTGACTGAGGAGCCCCTGCTTCATCTCCTCTATCCTGGCTGTGAACAGGAAGCAAAGAGGAAATTAACCATGTAACCCTGACGTCCAAAGGTTGTTATTGTGGTTATATTACATGTCACTTGTTAGACACTTTTATCCAAAGCGACTTATATAAATTCAATACTGTGGGCAATTTGGGGTATAGTGTCTTTCCCAGGGATACAACGACATGCTGACTCCTTATATACATTTCATTCATGGTTTTACTAAGTTACTACACTGTAAACAAAGGTGCGTCCCTCCCGCTGTGTGCAGCTAGAAGGACAGCAAAACGTTTTCTGGCTCAAGTGAGAAGGCTGATGTGAATAGGAAACAATCTACTTAAAAGACAAAAGACTTGTGGACTTGGCAACGTTTTAGAGTTATTTAAAATCTTATTCTACAAATAGTATAATACTCCTGATATTACTGTAGCCTAACCTTTATCCACAAATGTGTGTTTTTTACACAATGAATAAACAAGCAGAAATAAAAACTTTAAGCTAGATTAAGAATCTGAAGGTAAGAACTATTTGACCAAATAGCTGAGTGTCATAATAACAACAGGTCAACAGAAGGTCGTTTCTCTGTCTAGACATGCAAGTATTTGATCAACACTGGACACTTAGGCTGAAATATCTTCCAGAGAAAATGACATCTCCCTACCTGTCTGGTGGCTAGTGTGGTTAACAAAAATGACATCATCATTGTCTAGCAAGGAGTCTGGTGAGGAGTTGGAGTCCGTGTCCATGCCGTCGGAGTCACTGCTGCTGTCGTCGCTGATGTTGATCACACCCCCGCTGTCCACCGTGTGCTTGGGTACCTTGGGATGGCGACCCCTTGGGGGCTTCCCTGATTGGAGGACACATCATGTTATTAAATGATAACATTTGTATTACAGCTTAAGATATTTGACTTTTTGTATTCACACTCAATGAGAGGCCAAGAAATAAAAGCATAATGCAAGAAAATTGTGTTTCACAGACAATCAAAGCTGGCAGATGGTAATCAAACAGCCAGAAACACATAAATACATGTATATACAAACAAACAACACTCTGTTAACTGGTCAATTAGACTGCAGGGCAAATGCCTGACATGTCTGCTGAGTTCTGGCTATTCACAAGGTTAAAAAACATATTTGTTGTAATACTATGCACATGCTGGCACTTACGTTTTCTCTTTGGGCCCGGGGCTTTCTCTCTCCTCTGTTTCTCTGACGGGAAATGTTTTGTTACAAGCGACTGGAATACTCCCCTAAAGGAAAGAGGAAAAGAGAAAAACATTTAATCTGACAGCAAAGCGGACGACACAGGACAGTTTTGACAGTTTGACACCGCATACATTTCTGATCTGGCCTAATTATACTGTCAGTTGTTGACAGGGTGACGAACATGTTGTGTGTGGCCTAATATCCTCAAACCTTCAGGCATGTCTGCTTTGAGAGGTTCAGGGTCAAACCAGTTCAGAGCGCTCATCACATGTACCCTCCCTCACTTGTTATTATGGACTGGCGTTGTTCGATAATTAAATAGCTGCTCAAATGTTCAGAGATTGTTTGGTTTTATTGAGGATAAATGGTGAGGACTGAATTTATGTAACAAAGATGATCTGATGTGCCACCTAAAGGCAACCTTTCTAAAGCCTGAAACTCTTATATCAAATGTATGTATTGAGGGTGTATTCGCCTCAATACTGGCAAATCACTTTGATGAAGCAACAAAATGAAATGTAAGAAACCCCCAGTTAGCTATCGCTTCACAGACACACAAACACGCTCTTTCAAATAAACAACACTCTTTCAAATAAACAGCACTCTTTCAAACAACATTATAACAACATTAATATTATAGAAACACACAAACATGCAGAGGAAATATTCCTTTTCACTCACTCTGCTGCAGACACAAATCTGTCGAGCTGGCCGTCGTTCTCATCCAGGACTTCTCTGGTGCGAGACTCTCCGGTCGACTGCAGCCCGATAACGATGCACTGTGGTTGAGGTGACACAAATACACATCAATAAACAGGTCTGCTGTGTCACTTGAAGTATTGAGGACTCGTTCCTGGCATTAGATGGGACATATTCTAACATCCTTAAATGCATTCGACTCATGCATGTGTAAAAGGAAGTGTAAAATATGGTTAACAATACTTTAAAACAACTCTTACTTACTAGAAAGAAAACAATATTATTTCTATGCAGTTCTCCCTTCTTTAGCAACATTTACAGACATGTGTTTCCTGCTTGGACTTTCGATTGAAGAGTCCTCTAGATCAGTGGTTCCCAACCTGGGGGGCGCGTCCCCCTTGGGGGGGGCGCCAAAGATCGCAGGGGGGGGCGCCAGGCCTCAGATGATTTGAGGCCAAATATCATATTTAGACTTTTTTTTTTTACATATAATTGTAAAGCAATACATGATTGTCACTAAAAGCCTTGTCTCTACATTACAATAAAATATAAAAAGTAATTGATTAATTAATTTGAATAACAATTCAAGTTAGTAGCTATTAAAGGCATAAAAAGACAGAAATGTATAATTCTTTATTTAATAGAAATGTTTCTTCTGCCCGTAAAGTGTCCAAACCGGGCTTTTCTGGATAAGCGGGAATCCAAATGAATTAATCCTGAGTCCAATAACCATCAAAGTCACTCCAATAGTGCTCCTTAATTACGCTTTCATCCTCCTTTAACAAAATACTTCACATTCATCTAGTTTGTGACAGTAGTCTAAGGATAGAGGGTGTCGTTTTTTCTCATACTGATATTCTGAACAATCTGTGCTGTTGTATTTGCTGTAAAGTGTCTCTACTGTAGGCTATTTTTATTTTATGTACAGCACTTTGGCTCGACCAAAAATCGTTTATAAATGTGCTATATAAATAAAACTTGATTTGATTTGAGTAGTTGAAGCATTTTTGAGACTTTTAAACTTGAATTACCCCCTTGTGTGAGGGGGAGGGGGGGCGCAACTTCCAACAGGAGTCATTTGGGGGGGCTCTTGGGAAAAAAGGTTGGGAACCACTGCTCTAGATTATATATACTGTATGACTCAGTGTGTGACAGTGTGTTGTGCTGACCTTTCCGGCCAGCAGCTCTTTCTTGGCCAGCTCCACCAGGCAGCGCACCTTGGCTGCAATACAGAGGTATTTGAAGAAGCGCTGGTGAGACGCCCAGAACTGCCCCCACAGAGACTTCCTGCTGACCAGGCCCAGCTCATCCGCTGCACGCATGAACACCTGCAGCGCCTCTGCCCACTGCACACAGATGTGAACCGTCACAATTGTTATTGTTTCATCCAGCAGAAAATACCAAAAGGCTACAGATATGGAAGAGACTCAGGCATGATGCTCACCAGTCGGGCAGCTTTGTTATAGACCACTTTGAAGTCACTATCCAGTCCGATCTCTTCAATGCGGAAAGACACCCCTGAGAAGCTCAGCTGCCTGGCAATGTACATCCCGCTCACTTTCATGTCCATGGCAACGATCTCCATGGCACCGACACCTCTGTTTATGAACAGCATATAAATGATTCAACACACTCACGGATCAACCAGCTATAACCACAAACTGATTGCAAGAGATTTGCCAGTTGGCACAGCAATTTGAAGATATATGTCAACATGATTGAAAGGCAGGCATAACACAACACTTTCTGCAACATGTCGCCCTACAAACCTTTTCTCGATGGCATGCAGGAAGTCTTCAAATGCTCTGAAGGGCGTGCCCTCACCCCAGATTCCCAGGCGGCTCATATAGATCATGTTCTTTGGCTCAGAGGCACCTGGGGCAGAGATTTAAAACATATGTATTCTTAAATGTTTGTTCATATTGCATTACACATGCACATGTAAGATTGTGTGATTATTTATGCGTCTGCCTACCTGTGGCACTGGCATACACCACTCTGGCCCGCGGCAGCTTGTTTTGCAGGTCAAGCACGGCCTTGCCCATCTTTGTAGATGTGGCATTCTTGGCTTTGTGGCATTCATCAAAAATGATCTGTAATGGGGAAATGTCAAGGGCATAACAACAAATATGTAGAATATCGTTTCGTGTTTGAAAACTGTCAGATGTCAGTGAGGTCTTTTGAATGAAAGGATACAACTCCGTCGAAGTCTGGCTTGCACCAGTCCAGGATCTGTTTGATTCTCGTCCGGTGCTGCCCTCCTGCCTGGCTCTCTCCGATCAGCGCAGAGTAAGTTGCAAATAGGACTCCTTCTGAGGTAGCTGTGTCTCCGTACTTAATCTAAAATAACAAATCAAATAGTCAAAAGAGGATAGCATTTGTGAAATACAGAGCTAATTTACCCTGTTTCCAAATACAGCTTGTTTCATTTGCTTGGATGCACGCATCATTTAAACAGTTGCCTAAAACAGATGTCATTCTCTTAACTCATCACACTCACCTTGTTTAAGGCATGCACAGGAAGAAATGATGCATTTATGTCTTTGAGATCTCTCTCTGCATCAAATTTCAGGTCATTGGATATGCTGAACCTGAGGGCAGGAGCAGGAAAGTCATTAATTCAGTCGGGATCTGCTCCATTTACCCACTCTGGGGTCAATCAGAGTTGTAATTCTCTCTTACCATAGTGCTTTCTTCCTTCCCTTATTGTAGTTCTCCAGGATGATTCCTGCCACAGTGCGTCCCTTTCCAACCCCCGCCCCATCTCCGATCAGGAAGCCTGCCCTCTGGTTGTTCTGCAGGATAACTTCGTGTTGCTGAGGGTGCACAAAGAGCAAATATATAAACAAAGATGCATGGGCAATAAAATGTTAGCCATCATCACAGTTACAGAATGAATAATTGCTACATGCACGGTGTGTGTACCTGGCAGGCGTAGATAATAGCCTCTAGCTGCAGAGCGGACAGCAGGCCCCCGCTGACAGTTGGCTCAGGGATAGACAGAGTGTATGTGATGTCAGGAGGAGGGACACTGGACAGAGTGCTGGTCTCCACCACTATGTCAGGATGAGAAATTCCTATAGTGGCTAGAAAAAGGAAAACGGCAGTTTAAATAGGAGGACAGTTTACAGACACGAATGATACATCCATAATGTGAAAAGTGTCCTGTTTTTTAAGGGACCCTATCATGCTTATTTTCAGGTTCATATTAGTATGTTGTGCCTTTACTGGGACATGTCTCCATGCTTAATGTTCAAAAAGCTCTTTATTGTTCTCATACTGCCTGTGCTGCAGCACCTCTTTCCACCCTCCGTCTGAAAGAGTCTGCTCTGATTGGTTATTATCTGGCTGGCTGTGTTGTGATTGGTGAACCGCCTAGAGAAGTGTCGGAAATGTACTGCCCCTAGCCAATCAAATCAATGTGTTGGATTGCTAGCCAATAAAAGCAACAGTATTACACAGTGATGTCACTATGCTACGGAAGTAAATAAAGGAGTCCAATGGAGACGTTCCCGGCAGTGGGGGAGTGTCTGGGAGAGATGAAACTTTAGGATTTTAGCCTTTGCACACCTCTTTCATTACCTTTATAACAAACTACAGGACACTCTACAAGTGAAAAAAAGCATAATAGGGCCTCTTTAAGCAGAACACTGTAGATAAATAAAAAATTAACTTCATGTTGTAATTCAGTCTAGTAACCTACATTTGGAGGGTTTGTACTCAGCATATGTGTCTACATGTCCCAGTTCATCAGTCTCTTCTTCCTCAGCATCCTCCTCCTCCTCTGGGGGCGGCTGTGTTCTCTGAGGCTGGGCAAACAAATACAAAAGGTGAGTATGTATTTCACGTTAATGAAAACCACATATGGGAGTTATGCTTCTCGTTTCAGCGAGTAAGGAAAGACACAGTAGCTGAAAGATAGAGGCAGGTCAGCTGTTAGTAGAGAGGTTAGCGCAGCACATCTAAAACCCCTTATCAGGGCATGGTAACCAGGGCAACAGTGAAATAACAGATAAAGCTGAAAGGTGCAGAATGAATGAGAGCTTTGAAACATGTTTGTAGCTGCAGATAAAAGAATGCTTTACATATTCAGGCAACATCCAGTAATGTTATCTGAGAAGCTGGAAATGCAAAAGGGTCCCATTTTGACAGGTTAATATTACACTGTCTCTTTGTATTGTCACAAACTATTCAAAAAGACAATGCAGTATATGGAATAATCCATTCTCTAGGTGCATTGGCAGAATGTCCAAACTATGCAATATGCAGCAATTTCATCATCTGTGGTAATACGGAGAATGCACACTATAACTCAACATGCTAGTAGCTTTATATACCGTCAAAATGTGACCCTCAGCGTTAGACTAGTGGCTTTTTATGTTGATATGGAAAACAATCTAAGCCTTAAACCCAGGTTAATAACAGATCAGATTAGAGGGGTTGGTGTGGCTACCTGGAATCCTCCTAAGGGTGGGGTGCTGATAATAGCATGTATATCATCCAAACTGGCCAAGCCATGAAACCTGCTGGTGCCATTCTGCTGTCAACAATGAAATGAAATGAAGAAACACAAATGAAAACAGTGCACAATGCATAAGAAAAGAGTAACACAAAAACATGAATAATCCTTGAATATGGAGTGTGTGTATATATGAATGTGCATAAGTGTATGTGGGCGCTTCATAGATGTCTGATGGAGCAGCACTCAAGAAAATGCAATTTGCTGTCAGGCGGTGAAAAGCCAACGACAACAACAACAAAAACAAAAGGCAGATAAAGCCGTGTGTGTCTTGGAAACATAATGGGTGAAATTAGGGCAGAATGAAAAGGAAAATATAAAAGGCTTTCAGAAGGCAGGAGGAATGAATGAGCTCTGATTCATATCAAAAAGATATCCCTGAACCCTCTGAGTCAAAGAGGGCTCAACAGCAACCAAGCAGGGATAGAGAAATAACACTCAACAAAGTCGCTTTCCTCAAATCACTGACTCTAAGATCATGATATACTACACTGAGGGACACTCAATCCAAAACAAAGATGGCTATCATTTCAAGTCTCATACGAGTCTCTGTAGCGGGGGCTAATCTGGTGAACGGCTTCAAGATGTCTGTATAGTGTTTATGTGATCATGCCTGAAATCTCAATATAGCTTGGTACAAATGGTAACATTCATTCAATATAGTATAGGATTTACTTTTTGAGAATACTGGATGACTCAAACTTGTGTGTGCAATAACTGATCAAAGTAATACCTATTTACAGTCTAGTGACCTAATTCCAAGTCTCATTGTTGTCTATTAGGGGTGTAACGGTATTCGTTCCGTACCGTCACGGTTCGGCACACGCAGTCACACGACGAATACGCCTTTTTTTTTACAAGTGGGAAAAAAGTCTGTCATTCAGGGCAGTATCCACTACACTCTATATAATCCAGGGGGCGGTATTGCGCCTAAAAGATGTTTGCCAGCCGCCCTTAAACAACAAATGAAGAACAAGAAGAAACACAACAACAAAACGAACAAAATACAAGAAGAAGAAAAGTTAGTATGGCGATTTCAGATAACACACAGGAGCTAGAACCCACCTGCTTCTTTTAAATCAGCTGTGTGGGAACATTTCGGGTTCCCTGTGGACTACAATAACGATTAAGTGTGCGAGTGGTGGATCGGACGAGGACGGTGTGTCGGGCCATTACAATTATTAATGTCATATTTCAAGATGATTACTTAGATATTACAATATGGTTGGTTGAGCTGGAGTTCATTATTGAGCTTACACGTTAACGTCACAGTCATCTGAAGAACGAACCCAAACCTTGTTGTTTTTATTAATTGTATTACCAAATGGGTATCAAATAAACAGTAAGCATTGGTAACACAACTTCCAAAGTTACAGTAAAATAAAAAGGCCCCTGACTCGGACAATACACAATCCAACATGTTCAACAGAAGATAATCAGTTATATTGTTTGTACACATGGTACTTTACATATATATATATATTAGGGCCGGGACTTTAACGCGTTAATTAAGATTAATTAATTACACAAAAATTAACGCGTTAAAAAAATTAACGCATTTTAATCGCACTTATTTTTGCACCGCGGAACGTTTCTCACTGGATGAGTTTCAGGCGTACCGATTATACTGGAGCACCAACTAACGTTCATGACTTCAGACAACAACAAACCACAGTGAACAACAGTGGGAAATGTTGTTTTAAAAAACGGACGGATGGAAGCGTCGATAAGAGCACGGTTGTGTGCAAATTATGCAAAAAGGAATTTGCATATCACCGCAGCACATCAAGCCTCAAGTATCACCTCAATGCAAAACATATAGCAGCTAGCGTGGACGTTAGCCTCTTTTTTTAGGGACGGGTGGCGCAGTGGTCTGTGCGTTTGATCATCAGATCAAGGGGGCGTTGGGGAACTCCAGTTCGAAACCCGCTCCCGCCCCACTGCGTCAGGCCGTTGTGTCCTTGGGCAAGACACTTCACCCGAATTTGCTCCTGTCGGTATTGTCCACAGTATATGACCATTACATGTATGATCTGTATGTGTAATGTGTATTTGTAAAGCGCTTTGAGAGTCTTTGATAAAGCGCTATAATAAATATAAGGATTATTTATTTATTATTATTTTATCGCGTTCACACCAAAAAGAGCCGGTACTAAAATTAGTTCATGAGAACCTATTTACCCCCAAGAAAGTCCCTGCTAGAGAGCAGAGAGCTGCTAGAGAGCAGGGACTTTCGTACGGCTCTCTTGTGAGAAAAGAGCTATATTTCTGATTGGCTGGAAGGATTGCAAACCACGCCCCGTAAAACTCCCAAAAAGTTTTGTGAAGCCGCCATTTTATTATCCTTGCATTAGCATTAGCATTAGCCCAGCGCAGAAACGCAGAGAGACTTATGGCAACACAAAATAAAACATGGGAGCGGTGGAGATGAGGAGGTGTCGGCGTTCTGGCGATTTACTCGGAAGGCTTCAGTAGAAACTGCTGGGAGTCCCAGCAGCTTCTACTGAAGCCTTCCCCAACTCCGGGGACTTCCGGCCGGGGACTTTGGGCGGCAGTATACGCCGTGAAGTGGTTTGCGGCCTGCCAGTAAACCCAGAGCAGAAGAAGAAGAAGTGACGTCAGCGGCTTCATTTGCCTAATCCACCCCCAGGTTCAAAGAGTTCTCATGAACTAAGTTCTCATGAACCTTTGTGGGAAAGTACTGCGGTGTGAATGCGCCTAATGGTATACTAAAATCCATGTGAAAAAAATTGCTTCTCACTGTTCTCAGGTCAAATATTTATATGTGATTAAAAATGCGATTAATTTCGATTAATTAATTACAAAGCCTCTAATTAATTCGATTATTTTTTTTAATCGAGTCCCGGCCCTAATATATATATATCTGTTTGTTTAAGGTGTCCAGGTGATGCAGACAGGCTGGACCAGAGAGTGAGACAGAACTGGACTCCTCACAGCAGTGAACTTCAGCACAGGTACAAAGACTCTTTTCATACTGTACAAAGAATCAAGAAAGATATTGGTTTAAATGAATGAAGTATTGACTTGAATACACTGATATACATTCCATTAAACAATACTAAATGCTAGATCACCTACACATCAGTTAAGTTGAGGGTTTTTTCCATGCAAAAAGTTACATTTAGATGTTAACAAGCAATATGACTTTGTCAGCTTTCTAATTTAATGTATTGAAGGCAAAGATATTTAACACATAGTGAGAACTGCTACTATTTATCTCTCAATATTGTCTGTAAAAAACGTGGTAAAAGTTATTCTTTCAGTGAGACAACAGAGCAAGCTTCTACAGTTGCACTACGTTTTGATAACAGTTAAATATTATTTTGATAATAACATATATTTCAATGTTGATGAACTTCATACTGTTCATTCATAATCTGATTGTCTTTGTAGCTCATTGTTGAAATAAAAAAAAAACATTACAATTACGCTTTCATAAATAACACACTTGTTCTGCAATAATATGTTTTATGTTTCCTGTCATTTTTGTTAGGAAAGGACATGCCTGAAAGACAGGACATTTTCTCCTTCTCTGAGGGTCAAGAAGAACATCCAAGAGGAACATTAAAAGCTGATGTTATGAGATTTTAAGGCGAGACACCCCAGGTGAATAGGGTAATTTTATTAATTTAAAGGTATCAGCTAGAAATTTCTCCAGTTAATTACTTACAATAAGGCAATTGTCTTTTGTATTACAAGTTTTCTGAAATAGCATGTTTAAATATGCAAATTATCCATTATCTCATTAAATATGCACATATTTTAACACATTTCAGGAATCGAAATCTGAACTTTGGATATAGCCAGATTCAAAATTCTTGTTTCATTTTGTAGTCATATTAGCATCTAAGGCTTTTACAGAAGGGATATTGGATATCTCTTTTTATCACTCCATAAATCAGAAAATACTGTCAACAGCCCTAAAATATCAATTTTCGCCATGTTTTTAGGTATACAATGTTGTATAATTCAGGCTATGAATTATATATGAACAAACCCTTCTGTAAAAGCCTTCATAATATTGATAGGAATATAACTGGAAGGTTTGGTGTATGTACGTGCTACTGAAGTTGAAATTTAGAACTCAGAGTAGGAGAAAAAACTCATTTTGAGAAAACGACCTTTAAAGATTGCAGTGAGGCGCTAGCTAAACCCTCCTGTTCTTTGGATGACAGCTTGCGCATCGACGCACTCCGTGAAGGTATTTCATGTTCAGGGTCATTTTTTTTTTTATAACCTTGCTTCGTGCAAGTGACAATTGTTGTCGTCTTCTCTGTGAACGTTTTTTTCGCCGTTCTTTTGGCATTTTGAGATTTCAATTTCTAGCGGAAAGCTAACCAGGAAGTGTTTTAGCACACCACGTGACGCATCTGAACGAATCACGTTGTCATAAATTGACACCAGCCAATGAGATTTCGTTTCTTGGTTTAAGACCCCTTTGTGCTTTCACGATTGGTTGCTGATACAAAGGAAATGACCATATTTGGATCCGATGAGATTGTGCAGGAGAGACACAGCTTTCTAACGATACCTCTGTTGACATGGTGCACACAGCGGTCGCGGTACTTTATGTTACGTTAGAATGCTAACTTTTGGTGAATTTAGGAGAAATCTACAGACGCAAATAGACAAACTATAGTAAAATAAAACACTTAAATGTGTATTTTGTACGTTTTCCTTCCAAAAGCCTGAAAGAAAACATGTTATGGAATCAAAATAGCACAAAATCTCAAAATTGACCAGTACTTGAAAAACGATGTTTTTGCCTGCCGTGTCTCGCCTTAAGACCAGTACATGACATTCACTAAGAAACTACTTTTATTGTAAAAACAGTCAGCTGATCGAATGCAGCTATTTCCACATCTACACTCCATCAGCTGATTATTTATATTTGCCTCACTTTATGAGCTTCACAACATGTACCTTGTTTTGCAACGTCACAAATAAATGGGGCCAATCTTCAGTCAGATGTGAATGTGTAATCTAACATTTTCAGTAAGAATAATGGACAAAAGGAGTGCAAATACAAATACAATTTATTGAAATGTGAACCAAAAGTTAATCAAATGTTTTAAATATAAAGCACATATGGACAGAAGGTGTAAACCTATTAAATGTATTAAACACATTTAGTCAAATAAAGTGACCGACTAGGCCTGTGCAGTTGGTATCAGCTTTGCCCAGCATGGGCTCCTTCATCAGCCCTGGTCCTCCTCGCAGAGGAAAGACCCTCAGTCCTCTCCAAACCAACAGACAGGACGTCCATCACATGGAGGTTTCTCCCTGAAGTCTCTGCAGCTCTCTGGACACCATGCTGTCTCAATCCGTCCACACTGAATATGAGATTGGGAAAATGAAAATAATAAATGCTTTAGACAATAAGAAACATAAAGTTGACTGTTGAGTTGCTCATTTTTTTTAGATTGTCAATACTATTACTGTATAACTAATATCTCAGGTTAAGAAGCACATTCAAATAAAGATTGGTCTTTAAATACATTTTGTCTTTTGAATTGTTTGTCTAAAGTCAAGGATCTATAACTGGTACTTAGTTTTAATGATACAGTCTGGTTATTATGCTGTTTGGAGGAGGCCTCACAGGTAAGAGCGCTAACTAGCTACCATCACATGTACCTTAGCTTGACTTAAATGTATTAAACGTATAGTTAAGTGATATCAAAATATAAATAACTAATGTCATGCAAACATATTAATATTTGCTTGATTCCAGTGTTGAATTTAGTACAATTGCATACAAACGTTAAGGGGTTTTAAGATTCTGAAGTATTATGCTAAAAGCTCAATAACTTAGATTATTATTTATAGTTTTGCTGAATAGTTTCATGTCCGCTTACCTTAGAAACGTAAAATGCGACGGCAGCGTGCAGATGGGGAGCATGTTAGCTTAGCTTGGTAGCTTCAGCTAGCTCTGGAACTTCCAGCTCGGTGGCAGCAGGTCCCGCCTCGGCTCCGCCTCTTTGCCCTTATTTGGAGCAGGCTGGAGAAGGCGGGAGTTGAACTCTGGCGTCACTGTCGAGCCGTTAGTGGCCGACTCCGCCTACTAAGGGCTTCACGGCAACTCTGCAGAATCCTATGGGTGACGTCACGGACCCTACGTCCATTTATATATACAGTCTATGGATGCATATGACGTTGATCCTGCTATCATGAAGTCTGTTGGTGGAGAAGCATTAATAGCACGTCGGAGGCTGAAACCCGGAGCCGTCCCCTCCATATTTCAGCACAAGAAACCACTGAAAGAACGAAAGAGCCGGGCGATGCAGAAACGCCAAAGAATTGAGGTAAACAACTTTTGATTAGATTTCAAAGCGCACGGAGCACAGCAGATAACGCAGATAACGGAATTGCAGTTTTATTGCTTATAGAGGTGGGCACCGTTAGATTCTGTGTCTTTACGATCATAAACAATGTGTTGGATGTGGAGCTAGGATAAGTAATAAGGGCGCTAGGAGTGATTTCGGTGCAGTAATAGGTTAGCATTTTTCGCTCTGGGCTAATTCACTGTTAGCATTGTAGTTTATCTGCAGCTCATTCATCGCTCCTCCACTCATAACGGAAAAGTGTGAACAATATGCATTATGATAGGGATTAAATCCACTATTATTCCTCCTGGCCCAATTAAAAATGCCCCCCCGCGCAATTAAAAGTGACTGTGAGCACTTAGAAAACCCAACATTCTTCTAACCACTTCATTAGGCCTATGCATCAAAAAAGCCCTCCGCCATGCTTTCATTTCTTTCAGCCGAGTGGGTGCTTATAGAGGTGGGCACCGTTAGATTCTGTGTCTTTACGATCATAAACAATGTGTTGGATGTGGAGCTAGGATAAGTAATAAGGGAGCTAGGAGTGATTTCGGTGCAGTAATAGGTTAGCATTTTTTGCTCGGGGCTAATTCAGAGTCTCACTGTTAGCATTGTGTTTGGTTGTGATGGTTCCCAAATTACCCAGTGGTGAGTCCGCCTGGACTTTATTTTTCTAAACCTCTCTAAAAAAGGTCAAACGTCACTTGTTTTGCATCAATCTTGATACAGGGTACTTATTATATGTTATAGTTTGGATTCCTAAAGCTTTTAGTCTATAGTCTACTCAGAATCAGACATGATAACGAAACTAAGTTGTACTATCGGCGGAAGCAGCTGTGAGCGATAAGCCAAGGTTTGTTTGTTTGGCCACTGTGACGTCACGCAACGCCATCTTGCGGAGGAGCGGCTGAGAAAATAAATCGTCAGACTTGGTGTTGGGGGTTGAACAAAATAAATATTGCGCATTGCCAGACGCATATTATCTCCGATTTTAATACTGCAATATCTTAGATAGTGTTGTAGCTATATGATTTCGATTTTACTGGCAATTATAAAAAAAACCTTTGCATTTGATCTTTAAGAAGCCAAGAGACATGAGAGCCGAGAGACCAAAATAAATAACGGAAGCTTTTGGCATATGTTTTTCAACGACTTTGCGCTCTTGAAAACACTTTCTTATTATTTATGATGTCATATTTTCAAGACATTCTTTTTAGTTTTACAGCTAGATGAAACCTTTTTGTTTGACATCAGCCATTATAGATAATATGGCCATCTGAGTGTACGGTTTGTTTTTAACCGTTTAATACAGTTAATTATTCAAAATGTCAGAGTTCTTTATTTTTAAACTGAAACTTGCACTACTGTTCAAACATAAATAACAACAAACCTGGAATTATGCATTTGGGACTTTTTTTTGCTTTTTCTTGTTGTACCGAACCGTACCGAACCGTGACCTCCAAACCGAGGTACGAACAGAACCGTGACTTCTGTGAACCGTTACACCCCTATTGTCTATTGATCTGTTTGTGTGTGCAGAATTGTATTGATGCAGTAAGAATACTATTTTTCTTCTTCTTGTGTCCAATTTGCTGTGGAGAAGTCCAAATAGAAGTGTAGCACTAACATAAAAGCTAAATAAGGCTGCATTGGTTTAGTAGTGTCTTTTTCGTGTGGTCTAATGGCTAAATAGGTTATTTGAGGATGCATAGCATTAGCCATGGTTAAAACATACATTAACTGATTGTGGCAATTAATTACTTCCCAAGTAGATAATTGATACAAATTGGTTGAAATCCATTCGGCAACTAATGTCGATAACAAGCAGAACATCTGTTGTTTAGCGATGGTACTACGTGACGGCTGTGTGATAAAAATATGTATTAAAGCAAACTGTTTTCTATGAAAAGACTGCACTGGTGCAGGGGTTTTGTGATGTGACTGGTGTTGGCCTATTTAGTTTTTTTCAAAAGAATGAACATGAACCCAGCTACACCATAAAAGTCCCACATGAGAGTGAAAGGTTGCAGAGAGCCAGAACAGCACGAATGTTTACAGAGAAGAGGGACAAGAGGGTGTTTTGGGTGATGAGTGGGTGGGTGCTGGCTACTGACCTCGAGCTGGCTCTGTGCTGGTGTGGTGGTGGTACTAGTGTTGACGTCCCAGAGGGTGGGCACTGTGTTCAGGTTGTCTGGGCTGATGAAGGGCTGTGCATCAGCATACTCCGACAGCGAGTCAGCCGGAGAGGAGAACAGGGAGTTTGTAGAGAGGTCATCAATGCAGGACAGGTCCTGAAGGCAGAGAGGAAGAGAGAGGATGTTATGTTCAACTTCTAAAGAAAGGACAACATCTGTGGCAGAGCAGCGAGACATACCGATTTCCTTCCAGCTGTGAAGGAGTTGAATATTGTGAAATGACATGTGGATTGCCAAAACAAAACCACAGCCAGAAACATTTCCAAGTACTCTCATTACCAAGTTTCATGGAGAGAAAAAAAGTTAATAAATCCTAAATGTCCTAAAGCAGACACAAAACACAGGTTGTGCAGCAGAGGACTATTTGGTGCATACCTCAGAAGGGAAAAGTTGGGAGTGAACCACAGACAATAAAGGTGGCCCATTCATTCTGGAGTTCAGCCAACACAGCAATATTTTGGGAGTAACACGAGAAGCCTAAACAAAATCTAATCACACACAGATGTGTGAGGTTGAGCACATAAAATAGAAAGCGAGTAGCGGCCATAATGAAAGTGCTTGTGTCTTCGTCTGTATGCGTGTGTCATTTCAGCTATGGCTGCCTTCCAGACGCCCCTCTATTCATATCCTTTTCCAAACCATTAGCATGCCATGTTCTTTAACTAGCCCCTCACAGGCACCCCTTGGCCCCCTGAGACTTGTAAACATGGATGAGGGGAGATAGGGGTGAGGAGGGGGGGAGAGAATATGGAAGACACAACAGGCTGAACAGAGGAGTGAAATGTTTTTGGAAATGGGAACATGGGTCGACATTGTTGTGTATGTGTATTCCTGTGTGTAGTCCTCAGTTTGTGTGCATGTATATTTATACTACATGGGCCATGTGTGAAAGTTCCCACACCCCCCTTTCCAACTACACCCTACAAAGGACCATGAGGCAGCATGAATACTTCCAGAATATAATACTACAGTTTAACTCACTTTTAAGGGACAGTTCTACATTTGAGAAAACTAGCTAACATAAAGAAGAAAAGTGTCATCTTGATTGATAGATCTGTGTTGCATGTATGGGTTTACTACAGGTTAAGTTAGCTTAGTATAAACAGTTGACCAGCAGAGACTCCATGAAAGTAGTGCCAAAAAATAGGCATGTAAAACAGAAAATTGTCTTTGATTTGCAAACGTAAGTCTGCTTCAGTGCCTCCATTTTCAGGGACATATATTGGAGACATCTGAGTTGTATTACCATGTTCCTTTCAGTACTGGCAAGAGAGCAGGTAAGCCTATTTCTCAAAATGTGTAACTGTTCCTTTAAGGCCTGATTGTCTGAGCTACAAACTACTGTGTTATATAATATTCAAAAATGGAAATTATGTATTAGATATCTCTGTAACCGTCCTGCACTTAAACATGGTTAAATGGTTTTGCTTACAGAGTAATACTTTCTCACCTAAGAATACTGTACAGCAACAAGCAGTGATAATAAGTGGGTTTGACGCACAACATGGTGTTATGACTGAAGATGACTATTAAACAAAGGGAAAATACATGCTGTGCGAACCCAAAGTAAAACTGTTAGGCAACAGAAATGCACGACACTTTGTGTTGCTGCCACCTCGACAATATGCTGCTTCTGATTAATGAGAGAAGCCGTGCTCACTTGTCATAGCTGCCTGCTAGCTGTTGCTCACAGTTCAGCTGAAAATGTTTCATAGGCATGAGAAGACAAGAAGCAGAGCGCTTATGTTAACATGAGTGAATCATGTGGGAATGGGGCCCAGTGAGGGTGGTAAACAGCAGGAAGACCAACAGAGGCTCAACCCTCACAGATATGTGTATATTTTTGCCCTCTGACGTTAGAGAAACAACTTGCTGACTAACGCGGGGATGTTTGTGTGTTGGAAAGAGCTCTTCCAAGGGTACAGCCTGAGCTTATCAGTGTTTACTGGAAGCCTCTTTTTAACTCTTTCACTCCGTCTCTCTCTTTCTATTTCTCCCTCTGTGTGTGTGTGTGTGTGTGTGTGTGTGTGTGTGTGTTTCCTGAGGGCAAGATCAGACATGAGCTCAGAAAGCAGGCTCTCAGAAATGGTTCTGCACTGTAGACAGCTGAGTGGAACAACTGCCTTTTCTAGGGTGTCAGAGGGGTGTGTTTAGAGAGGGTTCCTGTAAAATATCACTCCCAAACACATAACCTTACTTTCTACCATACTTCCTTCCTCCATATTCTTTGTTTATTCTATCAGCTGTGTGTTTTTCTATCCCAGGAAAACTGTGTGTTTTCTTTCCAGCAGCAGAATAAATCATAAACAATTGATAAATACATTTAGAAAAATAACTAAAAACTCAGATTTGATATGAAATACAGCTAAATTAAATGTATGGGCTGTCATATATAGCTTCGCTTGTAAATAACGTGTAATTAAATGAATGACTAATTATAAGCATCCCTCTGGATTAATTCAAGCTCAAGTTAAAACGTGTCCTAAATCAATTTGTTTTCAAATATTGAATTTGTATTGAGACATGTAGGTCATTGCTCTGTGTTACGTTTGGATGTAACTTCTGGCTTTCCCACATAATGTACATTTATGTAACAGGGCATACTGTGCTGCTGAGGCAGTGTTGTTATTAGAGTCCTGATATGAAAGCATAACAGAGAACTACAGCGGGTTGGTTTATGCTAACCAAGTCGGACCGACCTGAACACCATGCTAATCGAGTTGTTAAGCAGAGCATAACAGAGGCAGCAGTGTTTGTCCCCTGGTGCTCCGTACCGAGGGCCAGCTCATCTTCTGTTCCTGAGAGAGGGTCCTGCCGAGCAGAGATAAGGCTTGAATTCCAACTGCTCTGATGCTAATCTGGCTCCCTCCGCAGCACACAGCCGTATAACTACTTATCCTGACTGTGAATCCAAAATCTGAATGTGTGTATTTTGATTCTTTTTAGGGAATAATATCTGCTTGAATTCTCTACTGCAATTTCTGAGAATAGGTAGGGAAAAAAGGAAATCACAGTATGGGTCTATCTGTACATGTTCAGAGGAGAACATGTGAAAGCCCATGTGAGTGTTATTTGTTCACATCTGCTGTTTGCCTGCACGTGTTCCTCCTCTCCCCTTCCATTTTGTTCTCTGCTATAAATGCTAAACCCAGCAGCATAATCTTCCCTTACGACCATCACAGTAAAGTAGAAACTACGCACAGTTACTGGCATCCTTCTGACCAATGGTGTATCACATGGTGACATTTTAAAACAACCTTGTATGCCAAATTGAAGCGCTGTATAGAAGCATAACACGCATATGCATGTACTGTATGTCACATCAATAAACCCAAAGAGGCAGTAAATTGTATTTGAGTGCCTCGATAATGAAAGTTGTCTACTTGGGAGATTGATTAATAGAGGCACAAAGCAATGAAAAACAGGATCAAATATACTCTGTAGAGCGGAGCTGCATAGCGTGATGGTGGTGGTTGAAGGTGGGGGTTATTAACCTCTAAGAATCAGAACTGGAAAAAATACATTTTTCACACTAACCACCCACAGACAGCTTGGCTTCATCATTCCGTTATGGGTTGATGTATTTACAGTGTGATGAGTAATCTGTCACACAATAACCCCCTCCTTTAAAAGTAACATACAGTGAATCTGTTATCATGAGGTAAGTGCTAAAAATTAAGTCAAAAATCCGTATTAGCAATTACAAAACAGTGAAAGGGGCATTTATCTTTAGCTTCAACAGATGCTTTGGTTGAAATGAATAACAGCAACGTGTACAATTGACACTGGGTTGTGACACCGGTGATAAGCTCTGGCACCACCATACAAGGAAGTCTGACAGCATTATCTTTTAGTGAGCTTTATAAAACAATACATTTATTGTATTTGTCTCTAAATATTACCATTAAAGGAAAAACAATCAAGTCTCCAATCATAAAACCTTCATCTAGTTTAAAATATATGTTTGGTTTATTAGATAATAACCTTTCTTAATCAGAGGACTGTAAAATAATACGTTCAGCAGCGTGTGTGTCCTGATAAGCTCCACTGTTACAATCATAGCCTCTCAAATCAATTTAGGAAAAGTTGATTAGACAAATGTTCGACATATTTATTTTAATTCTGTATGCTAAACTCTTCTGCATTGTAGGTTCAGTCACTGCTTACTCAACGGGAATATATGGACAGCACATGCCCCCTGGGACACACATGGTGCTGCCAGCTGCTCCTTCTCACCAGAAGTTGTTTGGCATGCTTAGAATGTCGACAACAGTTGACATGTCAACATGACGCTGGTTAAAACGACAGGGACTAATTCCTTACCAACTTCCCACCTGTATATACACACTAATTATTTGTGATGCAGTTCATGACCAAGATAAAGACTGGAGATTTATTGAACCATTATGAGAAATAAATCATGTTGTATGCCTTTAGTTTCCTCACTGAGACATATCGCAGATTATATTTCCCCCTGCTATCAAAAAGCAAATATAGGTAAAAAGTACTGTATCTAGTCCTAGGCCACATTCTGTTAAACTCAATAACCTGCGTTAGGGCAGGGCCAGACCCTGGGCTTTCCCCTCCTACAAACTGCCAGCCTTTCCAAGGCCAGGAAACAGCTCACCCTGTCCTCCCACATACCCCACACACCCAAACACACACCTCAAATAACCTCATGATATGTTTCCGTCATCTCTTTCTTATTTTCCCTAGTGTTTTAAATTCCATCCCCCTTGTTTCCCATCCCTCTCTGTCCCCTTTCTCCCTGTACGTTTAGCCTCTCCTTATGTGTTTATTGTAGTTTTGTTTTCCCACAGTATTCTGCAAGACCAGGAAGAGGATCTCTTTAACCCAACACTTATCTGTATCAACATCCTTTTGGGTAGATATTGTCAGTCAGTCACATAGATCAATCAGGACAAAAATGGCCTTATGCTAAAAGCACCATTATGCCACTAAGGATGAAGAGAAATGTAAATGTAAATATGTGCCTTTTGTACAATGCAGTGTGTACTGATATAGGCAAACTACAATCTAAAAGCAAAAATGTTAGAAGTCCAGTGGCGTCTTAGAGCAGCAACTGCTTTCCCAAT